AAAACCATAAAGGCAACATCCGATGTCGATTCGAAGGTTCATTTTCTTTTTATTTCAAACAATACCGAAATATTAAACATTAATTGATAATTCTTTAACCTCTATTGTCTTCAGAAGAACAACAAAATGGTCATACAATATTTTTACAAGAACTTTTTGAACAAATATCAAACTGCAAAGGTCGGCGTTCATGGTGTGTTGTGGATAATTTTTCTCACAGTGTTACCAACAAGCATATATTGTAAACACGCTAAGTCACTTCCGTATGAAACTGACGAAGTACTGTCATCATACATAATATTTTACTCCAACGTGGCAACGTCTTGAAAATTTCATTTCCATTGAATCATTATCATCAATAATTATTCTGATATGATTTATCCGCAGTCTGATAAAAGTTATATTCATTAAAGTTGATTTATAATTGTTTTATTTAAATATGTTTATCTATTGACTATTACGCAATTTATATGTAAAATTCTTATCAATATACATACTAAATCGCAACATTCGCAACGTATTTTCAACCCTGCCTTTATCGATTTATTATTATTTAGTATTTAATGAAAGTCTAAAGTTTAAAAAAAAAACTTTCAATTTATAGGAATAAAGAAATTAAGGTATTATAGTATTGTTAATTAACCAAATAATTTAAGAAACATATAAATAATATTGCACAATTCGACCTATTCAACCCATTAATTAGAACAGATATCAGCTGTATCCGTATAATCAGTAGAAAAATGTACCTATATAATAAAGATACAAAAATTTGTGGAGTGCAGTCAACATTTAAGCTTTGAACAAAACATCACCTAATTCATTTCATACAACCAAAATGACAAATGAACAATTAATTGGAGTAATTGATGTGGAATCCGAAATAGTCAAATTCTCCGTACTCAATCACAGTGGAAATATTTTGTTGAATTCATACAGGCCTATCAAACTCATAAAACCATACCCTGGTTGGGTTGAAGTAGATGCTGAGAATATTTGGAATGCAGTATGTACAACTATTGATGAGGTAATAGTTAAACTAGAATTAAAAAAATTATCTAAAGATAATATTAAGATAATTGGGATTATAAATGAAAGAGATACTATATTAGCATGGGATTCAGAATCAAGTAAACCACTCTGTAATGCAATTCATTACACTGATACTCGTACAGACACTATCATTCAGGATTGTAAATTAATTTGTCCGAAAGCACTTCATGACATTGAAGATGCAACTGGTTCAAAAGTAACGTCAATGTTCAGCGGAATCAAATTAAAATGGATAATTAATAATAAATACATTATGAAACAACTTATTTCTACGAAAAATATTAAATTTGGAACATTAGACACTTGGATAGTTTGGAAGTTAACTAAAGGTAATTTATATGTTACGGACATTACCAATGCTTCTAGGACATTATTAATGAATTTAAAAACTTTGGAGTGGTCTCCAAATGCTTGTCAATTTTTTGATGTTCCAATTTCATTATTGCCAACAATTAAAAGTTCTTCTGAATATTATGGAACTATAGAAGAAACATCTTTAAAAGGTATATCAATTGGATCAATATTTGCTGATCACCAAGCTGCATTGTATGGATTAAATTTCGAAAAACCTGGTGAAATAATGAGTAATTATGGTAATAGTTGTGCAGTTTCTTGCATAATAGGAACAGAATTTAAAAGATCTAACAACGGATTAATCACAACAGTGGCATACAAAATTGATAAGGAACCAGCAGTTTATGCTTTTGAAGGTTGGACATCAGTTGGCGGAAAAGCAATAGAATGGCTGAAAAATAATATTAAAATTGTAAACAGCGATGAAGAAATAGAATTATTAAACATAGATGCAAGTGATGTATATTTTGTCCCTGCTTTTAATGGATTAGCAGCACCACATTGGAAACCAAATGCCAAGGGTATAATATGTGGTATGACTCATTTTACTAACAAAAAACATATACTTCGAGCTGCATTAGAAGCATTTTGTTTTCATACTAAAGATGTATGTATTGCATTTAAAAAGGATACAAATATAGTTCCATCTCAATTATTTATTGATGGTCTTTATTCTATTTACAATAATGTATTAAGTTATCAAGCTGATATTTTGGGAATAGATGTAATAAGCTCACAAATGACTGACGACATGGCTATATATGGCTCAGCTAAAGCAGCGGCAAAAGTTATAAATATTGAAATTGGAAGTCATGAGTGGTCACTTAAAATCACAAAACCAATGACAACAGAAGAAGAACAAAGAAATCGGTATTCAAAATGGTTAAAAGCAATAAAACGTAGTACTGCGATAACAAAACCACAACCAAATCAAACAGTTAATAATCATAATAATTTTAGTACACATTTTTTATCTACAGCATACTTAATAGCTATGATGGGCATGATGGCTTTTTCTGATAAGAACTAATATGTTAATTTAAAAAAAAAAATATGCGTTGTTGATGTAAAAACAAATAGTTACCTAAACCTAAATTATTGTATTACTACTATTATAATTTTTTGAATACTTTTAGTAAATTAATTTTTGATAATATGTACTTATTTAATTTATAAAATGCATGGTAGGTATATTTATTAAATAAATTAGTGTAGATAGAAATATATCTCAAATGTAGGTGGTAGTACACAAATTATATTGTTATAAATTTAAATTACTATCTATGAATTATTATCTAAATTTTAAGGCTTATAATATAAAGTTAATGCAATATTGTAAAAAATAGTAATAATACAAATATACTTACTTAATTTGTTTATATTATGTGTAATTTAGACAAAATAAAAAATTGTGAAATGTAAATAATATTTTTCTCCATAGAACACAAATACTACAATTACATATTTAATTATTTGAATAATCTTTGTTTAATTTCAATATCTATTTCTTGGTTATAAGTTAAATACATTAATAACTGTAGTTCATAATAAATTACTGGACAGTGGACACTGAGTAATAAAATTAATATTGATATACCATTACATTACTAGGCAATATTAAACTAGTAACATAACAGTTATACCATAACTGCTTGATTATTTAAAAAAAAAGGTAAATAACTTATACATCAACTATTGTTAAATATTGTATAAACCAAAAAAATACATTCATCGTAGCATTATACTAATAATAACTAACAAATAATTCACTATGAACAGTTTTTAAAAACAAGTAAATTAATAATTTTTTCTTAATTAATAATCAAAATTAGTTGGAACACTAATAATATGAGGCAGATAGGTAGTGAAGCAGTTTTATATAATTTCACACAATAAGAAATTTGTACTTTTGTTAAAAATATTGGTAAGTATATTGATGAGAAAAAAAGTTTAGACATGATCAATTTAAATATATATTTAGGAAGTGCCTATATTATTTGAATATAGGTTACAGTGCATAGAATTTTTAAGTATAAAAATTATAAGTAACTGCTAAATTTTATATAAAACCAACTACCTTTAACTAATACAAAATGAAATAATTTATTAATCATATACCAACATGTCTAAAAAGCAAGTAAAATCTAATCTAATTATTTTTAATTTATTTTATTTGAAGAACCTTAATTTTAAACCTAATAATCATGAGAGTAATATTATAGTAAAAAATAAAATATATAAATAATCTAATAAATTAACATTAAACCTATCTCTAACCTACTTTTACTATGATTCATCAAAATGTATCAAAATTAAGGTACATATTGAAATAATTTTTTTTTATAACTTTAAATTAATGACATACCTGTCTACTAGGTATTTTAATACAAAGTATAAGTAATAATAACAAAACATATTTTAATTTGTAGATGTTATTAAAAAAAAAGAAGAAATTCCAAGGTCTGGTTCAAACAACTAAAGTAACTTCTCAACCATAAAATGAATATTATGTAAACTGATAGTGTATCATATTTCAATTAATTATATTCTGAGGAGTAAATAAAAATGGAAAATATTAATATTTCCTAGGTACTTAATAACAATAGGTATATTAGAGCTATTATATATAGGTATAATTAATATTATTTTCAATCATATGAATTTGGAAACTTATTTGAAAACATATTTCTGTATAGATTTAAAACATATTTAGATAACTTATCTTCCAGTAAATTTTAATGATTTTAATGAAATATGTTTTTTTTTTTTGTATATTTACATGGGCTTCTTAAATACAAAAAAAAAAGTCAATAATTGCTAACAAAATACCTACTTAAATAAATTCTAATAAATTATACTTAATGTAACTAATGAAATATTAGAGTGTCATTTTGTTAAATAATATGATGAGTACCTATATTATACTTTTTATTTTTTTAGAATAACCTTTTAACAGTTCTAACAACTACTTATATACAAAAATATATTATTTAGGTAATGACTTTTAGCTATATAAATACTAGCATACTAATCCAAACAAAGTAATACAATAAATTTATTATTATTATTATAATTATTACTCTGTCTACATTTATAACATAAAGTATAAAAAGTGCAAAAATGTTATTGCATTGGTAATATTGTAGGTTTTTACTTTTCATTAACCATTGGACTGTTATTCTTGGCAGACTTTATCTTACACTCCCCCTCCACTAATAAAAATTCAAGATTGAATTACAGATAAGTGTACTACTACAGTTAGTATAGATTGATCGACTACGTGCATATATATATGAATAATATAAATATAACTTAACTTTAAAAAAAATGTTTTAATGTGTTTAAATTAATTCGGTCATTCGAAAATATAGACAAACAGTTGAACCGGGTTCACATAATCACAGAGTCTTGTGTCGTGTTTTATTTTATTTAATTCAACATAAACAGATACATAGACAAACAACACAATGTTGGTATCGAGTTACCCATCCGCAAGTAAAATGGATTATTTAACTTTACACCACACAACAGCACAGTGCGGTGAACCCGGCTTGTTATTAAAGCGGTGTGAATGACGACTAAATAAACCGTACCTTCGGGGAAAGCCTGGTCGTTCAGAATGTACTGGATAAACTTGTTGGTGATGAAGTACAAATGTCCCATGCCGGCCGCTTGGAACTTGGTGGAACTGACGTACGCGGTGGACACGTTCGGGCTGCTGAACTGCACCTGTTCGTACGGCATAACATTGTGCAAATGTTCGGTGACACCTTCCATGAGCCTGAGCTGCGGCTTTGGCTTGGCAAAGTTTTTAAGCCAGTTGCCCTCGGACCGCGCGGCGAACTGCAACAGCAGGGCCACGCACACCACCCACGGGCTGCCGACGGACATCGCGGCCGACGAACACGACAGAAGCACGCGCTACGGTAAAATACTCGCGGGTATCCCCCCGTCGGTCGTTACACTCGCGGACACATGTCGGACCGACGTCGAGTTCGAGCTGTCTGACTGCCTCTACGTCTCACGGCGAGTAGACGGACCGTGGAGGTAGGAGGAGATCACGGCCGTTAATCGTACGCCGCAGTCGATGTGCGTGCGTTTGTGCGTGCTTCGACGTTTTAAATTATTATATTTTTGAATATTATTAATAGGTATTAGCAAAATATTGATACAAACTCCGGGGTGATCAGCTGCTGAGGGCTCCGGCCTGCAGGGTAGGCAGGGGATAGCGAACAGGTAAACAAAGGAATTATATTACACGCACTCTAGCGGACACTGTGCGGTGACCGACGACGGATTTAAATTATTTTTGTATTCGTTCACCCACAACAACAACAACAACAACGACAACGACACCGCCTAGTATTTGATTTGGATTTAAAACAACGAGAGAAGACGATAGTCGTGCTTGAAAATAACGTTTTGCCGGTTTTCAGGCACGATAGTTCCGCTATCGCAATGGCGCGCGCGGTGGCCGTCGTCGCGATGACGTTCTGAGCGGCGTACGCTGGCACAGACGCACAGTGGCACGTTGTACGGGACACTACCGCGGCGAATCGGGTTCGTTGTGCGTACCGCGTACTGCTTACACTGTACGACGACAGAAGCGTCAAGCGATCGAACCACGGACCACGGTCGACGGGCCGACGACAATAAGGTCTAACGCACTCGCACAGCCACGTCCCCCGGTTACCCGTACACGGTACGCGCCGCTGCGGAACAGGTTGTCGGCGGTCGTTTGGTAGGGATGAGCAGGACCCCCCCGGATCGATACGCACGACCGGAGCGCCGCGTAGCGGTCAACCGCCGCCGTCGAACGGGTACACGACCCGCGACGCAGTCTCACCGACGACCGAATTTCCCCCTCGGCCGACTGCACACACACGGTCTTGGCCGTGCGAAATGGGCCAAGGTTATATTATTATTACTGTCGTCGTCGTCGGCGCACAGGAGCACGGCAGCTGGAGGATGGTGTTTTTCAACCGTAGCCCACTCGCACAACCCGCCGACACTTTCACGGGTCTCGCGAATCGGGAACGCGAGGCGCACGCATGTCGACCGGACTTAAAATATATAATATTTTACTAATCTATGTTTTTCAGTTGTCGACGTCGTCGTACTTGTCGGATGCAATCGATGATGCGCGCGCGTATATTATACGTAGGAGGTACCTACTCTACCCGTGTTCAAACGTATGTGTCCCCCGTCCGATCGGGGCCAATCCGAAAAATTTAGAAATGTCCGTTCGCGAGGCGCATAGCTGCGAGTACATGATATTTAAACTACGCGTATATAGTGTATAGGTATTATTTTACCATATTATAACCTAAATCCCAATCACCCATGTCCTATTCGACTATTTCGATTGTCACAGCAGTAGGCCATCGACCGATAGTACATTAATATAGACATATAGTATATACAATGTACGAGTTTCACTCAAGTACATCGCTTTAAATCTATACGACACATTAGCACCCTGTGGGGAGTCGCGCGTAGACTTGAAGTATTCAATATTTGATATACATACTAATTATTGGTGTTAAGCCACCGTCCGCTCCTTTTCATTCCTAGTTTAAAAATGGCTAACATCATCCTACATATAGAGACATAAAAACATGTCTGTTTAATAAAAAATTGGTGTTAAATTAATATTTTCATAAATATATTATTTAAGTTATTAATTACAAAAATATAATGCATTACACGAAATATAAACACGTTTATTCGGTAACACGCCTCCCTAGTCCCCCCACTTTACAACTAGACTGTCCACTGTATTGCAATAGCGCTATAATATGTCTAAATAAAAATGTAAAATTAAATTTTAGGACAAGAATATGGTATTTATTAATACTATATATTACATTACCATATAGTTTAGTAAGTTTACTTATATACTTACTATAATAGTTTACTAAACATCTGTACATATACGACTTAGTCATAATAACATATATATACTTTAAATATTTACTATTCGAACATTCAATATGTTTATGTACAATTACAAAAAATAACAATTAGGTAACAACACTAAAACAAACAACTATTTGGTTATGAATTAAACTTTTTATAATTCTTCATTGTTTTTACTTCGCATAATCATATATATCTAAGGTATTTAAATCCAATTACTCAAATACTGTACCGTCTGTACCTAGTATTAGAGATTATCTGATCATCATTTATCATCAAATTATAATAAAATAGCTTAAATCCAATGTAAATATTATAATATGGATAGTGGGGGAGTAAATAGGTATTTAGTCAATTTTTTTTTCATAGTACCTACAAGTATTAATATTCCAATAGGCAATAGCCAATAAATGATCTTTTATTTGACTTTTATATTATAATTATAGAATTTACAAGATATAGAGTATAAGTTCTAAGTACGTATAAAGCTAAATATACAATATAGTTTAGAAATGTTATCAAGAAAATGTACATGATAAAGAAAGAAATATAAAATAAACATATTAGTCTAAGATACACAAATAAAACCTCATAGATAAATATTTATAAAGCTTAGATATAAAATAAAATTATGGCAAATCATTATTTAACTCAAGAAATAAATATTGATATACCAAGCCTTTAATATTAATCCTTTCATCCCCAAGTATGTTTTTTTTTTAAATTCAAAAGGCATTGAAATGAAAAATGTTGGTCCAAGATAATCTACAAAACATTGACCAAAAGATTTATTTTTATAATTGTAATAACAGTCAAGTCAAATTTCCTCAATTCTCTTTTATTGCTTAACTCTTTATGATATTTATCTAAGTTAAATTAAAAAGTACACAATAACAATTTTTTTATTCAATAACCTTATTGGCAAAACACCAAGTTCTCTATAGTTGGCTTTCGTAAATCCTTCTAGAGTGAATTTATTTAAGCAAATTCTGACAATATTATTTACACATTACTCAATAAACATTATTATAATTTTTTAACAGTGTTATATATCGGTTTAACTTTCAATTGTAAATAAGACGAAGTGCATATACATTAAATATTGCTAGCGGACCAATCAAGAAATTGATAATCAATAAAATTATTACCATAACCACGTATTTGTGAATATATTTCAAACTTTAACATTTACATGGTTAATACACGTATTTACTTGATACTTAGGACTAAGTTTAAAGTTATAAATCCTATAACTTAGACCAATTTTATGAAGGAACCGAGGAGGCGAAATATTTGCTTATCTCTAAATTTTTCTGCAAATGTACTTCATAGGCTACTATAATATCAATATTTTATTTATGTATCAATGATTTAAATGTTATAAATTAAATCATATTATGTGCTTATTAAAACATTAAACAATGCGCCACGAAAATGTGTATAAAAAATATTAAAGAATATAATATTATTTATAATATTGAAATATGAAATTGTTTCATTATATGTTTATCAAGTTATATTTAAAGCTAATTATTTAACACAAAACAAAATATAAATTGAGGTAATTATACATGTCTTTACCTAAATCAATTAACACTGTAATCTCTCAAAGTGCAATTGCTGCAGCTTTAAATTTTTATATCTGACCATTTTGACCAATACACATGCTACCAATTATATTCAATACTCAATAAGACTGTAGATTTATCAATAAGGTAACTTTGTTGACGAAAAAGTTTTTATAGTAAATAGACAATAATCATGACTCAACTATTGCTTCTTTGAACATTCAAAAACATATCTTTCTTTTTGATAAATGGTACAAGTTAAAATAAACGCGTTTAAATCCATGTACCGCATCATTAGTTCTTAGGAAGGAAAAATTACACAAGCAATTAAACTTTGCTATATTTTTTAAATTTTAATGTCTATTTTTTATCATTGTTAAAAATGCATCAAATTTTATTTATTTTTTAAAATTGAATTAAACATTTAAAGGGTGGATAATAAGACTAATAAAAGTCGAATGACATTCAATAAGTAAACTTTGTACTATGTTAACGAATTGAAAATAGTTTGATGAACAAAAAATAGGAGTTTTTTCGTAAGAGAAGAACGGTCAGCGTTGAATTCACTTATATAAACATATTATCTATATAATTTTATTAATTTTAACTTTAAAATTAAATGTATTATTATTTAACATTATTAAAGGTAATTTGGAATTTGGATGTAACACTACTAATTATAGCTATGTATTTCATCGGAATCTATGTATTAAGGTTTGAAATTATGATAAAATGATTCTACAGTATGTGCATCGACAATCATACTCTATTGTTCGTGTCAAAGAAATCTATTATATTATTTGTACTATTATATCTGCAGGACGTTTGATGTTGATAATAAAGACAAAGAAGCCAAATATAAAAAGCTAATTTATGTATTATAAAATGTCCTTGAAAACGTCTTTTGAACTATGGTTAAAAAATGATCAAGAATTTTTTTTTACATTATTATGCTTTATAATATATATCCAGTACTAGGATATTGTAGTATTTTAAGTAGGTAAATTATTAATTATTTTATTTACACGAATAACAATTTATATGATATGTTTAATTTTTTTCTTTTTAATATGCGCATCGGCATAATGACATATAGTACCTACGTATAACAACTGAAATTGATTGATGTTACTTAATAATATATTAAAATGTCAATTGATATAGTTCTTTGAATTATGATATGCATTGTTATTGTTAATAAATATATATATATTAATATATTATACAGATATTGATGAATGCTCAAGGCTAAATAATATAGTTGATCAGTTTTATGTCATTTAAATATTAGTATTTTTAATTTTTAAAACAATAATAATTTTGTAAGTATACTGTATCCATTTTATTAAGCTTAAGGGTAATATATTTATTATTTTTTAACAGATTTGTGACATTATATTTCAAAATTTTAGGTATTTATTTCTATAACTATATTTATTAAATTAATGTTTTAAATTTATATAGTATGGATAAATATAGCTCGATTTAGATCTAATTGAGAAAAAAAAATAACTTATAGACCTAAGACTTAAATTGGTGTTAATAAGCAAAAATATCAACTTATAAAATAATTTTTTTAAATATTTGTAACCTATAAAAAATATGTATTACAATAGGTACCTACTAATAATAATATGTAGATGTACCTACTACAGTTATATAGTTTTATATATACAAAATAAAATACATATAGAAAATTATTGAACTGTTTTAATTTATATTAGTCTATATTAAGTAAGAATCTACTCTGCATATACCATAAATTGACAAATCGAATAAACCTAGTAATATTTTGAATGTTTATGATAAAAAATATAAGTAAACTAAATTTATGCCGTATTATTACAATATTACATATTTATTTTATACAAAACGAAGACATTATTAATAATGAAAAAAATGTATACGGTCAATTATAGCATGATTCAGTATTACAGTTATTATTATTTTTTTTTATCGAATTCCTGTTGAACGGTTTCCTACTCTGTTCTTTGATCTTGAAAATAATTTTGTAAAAATAATTTAGTGTAACAATATCATAATATATAGTTTGTTATAACTTATAAGTATTATAACCAATTTTTTTTTTGTATGCAATAAACTTTATATCTGTAGTACAGGAAAATATCGGTATTACCTTATAATAATCAGCCAAAAAAACAACTGTATTTCTTGTTAAAATATCAATGTGAGAGTATTTATACAATATCAGATGAATTTGCTGCAGAGTTTTAAGATAATTTATATA